TGAGCTCTGAGCAACAGCGGTTCGAGTCCAGCCCCAGCTGAGCAGCCGCTGAGCTGCCAACAGGTAGCAGGATGGCTCAGCTAAAAAAAAAAACAACAACAATAAAATGAAAATAATAGATTCTACTTTGCAGAGCCTGTGAGCCTTGAGTGAGATAACGTACATAAAGGGCCTAGCATAAAGCCTGACTCAGAGTACTGCTTGGAACATCCATGCCAGTATCATAATTACTATCATGATTATTAATAATTTCTACCTGGAATAATGGAGCCCTAAGTGTAGTGAAACCTTGTTAGAGTAGATCCACAAATGGATAGCTCCAAAATCCACACTTACAGTATTACTACATGACAAACGGGGCTTCTTCTTTATTTTTATTGTCTTTCCAGATTGTGATATGGGTCTTTTTGAACTGACACTTCAACTTCGAGAGAAAAGACTAGACATTGAGGAGGCGTTAGTTGAAGAAAAGAAAATTATTGATAACCTCAAAAAGGAACATGATATATTATCCAAAAAAGTATGGTGGTTTGCCTTTTCCAAGTCTATTTATCCTTTCCCAACATGCTACACATTCTCTAAGCTATAATATTGCCATTTCATAGCAATAACATAATTTAGGGTTTCTCCCAAGAGAAAAATATTTCAAATGTCACATCCAATTTTTTTTTTTTCTTCAAGCATAGTCATGGTGGGGACCTTTGGACTTTCTTTATCTAAATCTTTGGTTCCCAAACTTTTTTGATTGCATACTTCTATACATAAAAAAAACAATTGTGGAGCAGATAGCCACCCAATAAATAAATATGTATTTAAGTTATATTTATGAACTATTGAACTAATATACAGTTGACACTTGAACAACACGGGTTTGTCCTGTGCAGGTCCACTTATAATGCATTTTTTTTTCAATAAATATACAGTCAGCCGTCCATATCCTCAGGTTTCACATCTGTGGATTCAACCAACCACAGATTGAAAACAGCATTTTTGATCCCTGGTTGGGAATCTGTGAGTGCGGAGGGCCAACTTAAGTTATATGCAGATTTTT